CACATATTCAACCCTATTGTAATAAAATTATAAATAAATTTTACAAATGGTCATATAATTTCTTAAGTGTGGAAAAAATAGCATATTTCCTAGTATCCATTGGATTAATAAGACAAACTAAAAGAAATTATGACATTTTGTACATAATAATACTGAAGATAATACATCACAGTAATATTTAGTCAGAATCGATAACTTTAAATGTATTTTTCAGGAAACATTAAAGATAAAATTAATTCAACATGTTGGTTTAAAAGCAAAAGACCATACTCAGTGCAATAAGGAAAGAGAATTTTAAAAGCTAGAGGAAAAGAACAGTAAAATATAAAACAAACAAAACCCGCAAATTCTAATTATCCTTTGAAAAGATTATGAGAAAGAGAATTTCGTAAAGATTGACATAATAAAAAGAAAGATTCAAATTTTAAAATATTGAATAAAAAATTGGAAAATAACCATATCCACAATTCAAAAAACTAACAGTATTATGAGAAACTTCACACTGATAAGTTTAAAACTGTATATGTAAAATCTTAAATAAATATCAAATAGTGAAATTTCTACAATAAAAGTGTAGTGTTTGAAGAGAACAGTGTATTTAAAATTTTATGTATTGAATTTCATCCTTTCTCCCAAATTCCAGAGTAAGAAGATTTTAATGGTGACTTCTACCTAATTTTCAAAGACCAATTAATTCCTAACATATGCTGGAAAATAGAAAAAAGCTAAAAGTCTCATGTTATTTTATGATAATGTACATTTATGATTCTATAATTAATAAATGACAATACAAATAAACTCATAGATATATTTCACTAATTAACATAGATGTAAAAATCTTGAATAAAGAAATTCAAGAGTATATTAACAAAATATACCTCATGATCAATGAAAGCAAACGTCTATAGCTGAAAGAAATCCTAGTTATTTTTTCAGGGAAATATGTTTTGAATTGAATGAGTAATATGTTCTAAAGAGTCTGAAAAGAGATGGCAGAATCTTTAATTAATGTTTGAATATCATATATATGTATAGATATATGCATGTGTGTATATTATGATTATTTTATTTTTTTCATGTGCATCTGGTGGATGGTGGAATCTAGGGAAACATAGATTTTGTATCACTGGGATCATCACTTCCAAATTTTGGTAAAGACAAACAGAATGCTTTTAAATTTTTCTCCATGTTTAAAGATTCTAAGTTAACTCAAGATTAAATTAATACATCTTTTTAAACATGTTTACTGTTGTAAATCATTCACTAATTATTTTCCCGGCTAGGAAGACTATAACTGTAATTGAAGTTTGGATAAGAAAGGGAGATTAAGGTGATTGTAATTACTGTCTCTCAAATTGGGCAAAAATTTGGATTTGATTCTATAAATATTGCTGTGCTATTTTAAATTTAAGAGCAGATAATCTTATGTGCTACCCTTCATTCAATATCAAATTACAATTCCTTTTCCTGTAAAAATATAAGATTGCATATTTATGCAAAAGATGTTGCAAATCCCCACAGCATTTGATAAGTCCTTATAGTAAAATGCTATGAAACATAAAGGCGGCTTTGCCTGTTAACTTACAAAAATATAAAAAATGATGCATTTCTGAAAAATTAAGTTGAAAAATCAGTAAATCCATTCTGTCTTGATCTAATTCTGTTTAAAAATACTCTTTATGAGGATGTGAACGTTTGTTTTTATTCTTAAGCAAATAATGGAGTGGCAAACCTAATCTTTCAAACCTGTGTTCCAAAAGGGAAGCCCTACCAGACAGCAAGGTAGAATGAGCTCTCAGCTGTGACTAGCATAATTAAAGATATTAATGATCACTGGATGCATTTCACTACTCTGGTTAATTTTTATGGCTTATCCTAAATGAGGCATAATTAGTCTGAACCAAGAGTTAGCTTCAAAATTTGATTCTCATTAAGCATAAAGAATCACTATGTTCTTTCATTCTTATTCAGTGTAAATACATGGTATTTTCTGTCTCTGTGTCTCAGTAAATTCTTTAATAACTATCTGTAAGAATGCTTATTTTCTAGGGACATTACAACCTGCTGAGATTCTAAACGCATGGCCTAAAATGCTAATGTTTTTTAAATGTTTTTTAAATGAATATATTTTAAGTCTTGAATATTTAAGTATTGCATTTTCAAGTTTTTCTGTTCTTGTTTAACACTTAAATAATTGTAGTTTTGACATTGCAATATATTTTCATTATACTCTTAATTAAAGTTAATTTTTGGGGAGTGGTGGCTCATGCCTATAATCCCAGAGGCCAAGATAGGAGGATCACTTGAGGCCAAGACCATACATTAATGTTATGTTCTAGACCATAACATTAATTTTTAATTGTAAATAACATACACTGAACAGTACCAATTTGTAAGGATTTTGGAAAAAAAATGTTATCAGCAAAAGAGAAGATTATTAACAAAAGTAAGATGGCTTCAAGTAGTAATACTTCATGACTTAAACTAAAGACAAATCTGTACAAATAAAAAAAAATCTGGTGCTGGTAAGTGCTTGGGTAGAAAAGAATGTACAAGCTGTTTATTTGGAAGATGTACTCTCATACCTATCTAATTTTGATTGGAGTCAAGTTCTACTTGGTGATGTTTGTTTTTCAACCATTTGAACTATCAGCATAATAGGACAATGAATGTGACCAATGTTTTTGAGTTGCTCTCAGTATCTTCACAATTCAAACGTACCTTAAAAATTAATATGGCCAAAACCATAGACACGAGAGTTCTCAGGCTATTCTTTCTGTGTTGTGTGTTCTTTCACCATCCAAATTCTTTGGGTTGGGTTTTCAGTACCATTTGAGGGATGGTCATGCATGAAATCTATGCAAGCCAGAAGCCAGGCGAGGGGTGGGGGATGGTGTATCAGGTGTTGTAAGACTTCTCATGGACCTTATGGAAAGCCAAGCCTAGGAATCAGATGTGATGAGGCAGTTAGGTGGTACTAGAACTATTGCAGCTCTTAAACACATCAGAAACAAGAATCCATTGGTATTCTTATTGTCTTTTGCTTAATAATTCGGCTAGTTTTCCATAGGCCTGTTTCTTTCTGTCCCTCTGATAACTGACTTCCTCCACTTGTTAATTACTTGCACAACACTTGACTCACCACAGGCTTAACATCACTCCATGACATCCTTTGTCTACCTCACTGGGTAACTGACCAGTTATCTCTGGGATGTCCTAGTTTAAATCTCCCAACGAAAATATAATATGCCCAGATTATATTTTAGTGTCAGAATTTGGGGTTACATGATTTTTTTTTACCCTGGGCATTCCATATCCAGTGATTTGGAAATGGTGATAATGGGAGACATCATGAAAAGGATATTTGCATTGCTGGAGCTGCATCCCAGCTATGGCCCACTCACCTCTGGACCTCAGGCCCTAGTAACCTCTATATGGTTATATATTTAAACCACTATATTTAGGGGTCTACCAGCTATAGTAACTTAGTTTTTACCTTGATTAATTCAGTAATTTGTACCTTCAACTGTGATTATTATCATATCAAATTCACCAGTTAAAATGAATTAACTGGTTTTACATAAAATAAACATGGATAAATCTCATTAACATAAAGTTGAATTTCACATAATTTATACAAACTTTAATGTGAAGTAATTTTCATGGGAGCATACATAATAAATAAAATGTATAGAAATATGCATTGGCTTCAGAATAGCAGTTACCTCTGAGGAGAAGAAAGTAAGGAAAATTAGGTGAAGCTTTAATAGTATGTATAATATTTTATTTACAAAAAGCTCTAAAAATTTAGACACAATATTTATATTTGGTTAATTTTGGAGGTTGGCCCATAGGCATTTTACATATTCTTTTCTTTTCTTTATGTTTGAAATGTTTTAGAACTAAACATTTTTTAAATCTCTCTCTATATATATATACATATATATAAATATATATACATATATATAATTTTTCTTCCTCCTAAACTTGATTTCCAACCCAATGACTCAGTTTATCTTTAGAAATAACCCATATCATGAGTCTCTTTTATCATCCCAGGAATCTTACAAGACTATGTTGCTCAATACATGAGGCTATTGAGTACTAGGAATATGGCTACTCCAAATTGATATGCACTATAAATGTACAATACACATTGGATTTTAAGGGCACATTATTTTAAAAGGATGTAAATTATAATCCACTACATGCCCAAATGATACTCAGAATATGATAAATTAAATATATTAGTAAAAATAATTTTATCAGTATCTTCTTTTTTTGGTAAAAAATGGGACTACCAGAAAATTTAAAATTAGAGAAATTAAATGTTTCATTCACTATATACAGTTATTTTTTAATCATAATGAACTCTTAGTGACTAGTTTTAGTGACTAGTGAACTCTCAATGACTATAAAGATTATAAATTCTATAAAAATCTTAACCACTGTGTTATGCTGCCTTTTTTCAAAACTACTCAAGGCATGCAAAGCTATGTTCATGCAAATACAGTTGGAGTAACTGGCCTAAGGTTACACATCCTAACAATGTATAATCAGGAGGAGATATTAGGACTTATTTGGTATTCATATCGTTCCATTCTTTTGAGATAAGGAATATCACTATGCAATTGCTCCCAAATCTGACCACAGGTCAAAATTACCTGGAGAGTAATAGAGATTCCTAGGCCCGACACTTGAATCTGTTTGTTTTAAGGAACCACAGTTTTAAATATTGAGGTTAAGCAAGGTAAGAGAATCACAGTCATATAATGTGCATGGTTTCTCAATTTAAAAAAATGAATTTTTTGTTATATAAAAAAAGCATATTTTTAAATAATAAGTGAATATCTGTGTGAATTAAATAATGAAGCTTTCATTTAATGAAAATTTTAAAAGGATAATCTTAATCACTTTATTATTCTTCACAATAATAAAAAAAACGAAAGCAACAGAGATGAGTTTGGAACTTGTCTATATAATGTTCTATTTATTTTTAGATTAATTTTTTAAAGACTGAAGTGGAAAGGAAGAGCAAAATGATTCGAGACCTTCAGAATGAGGTAAGATTTGGATTTTAGTCAAATTTTTACAAATCAAAGATTATACACAAATACACATATAAATTTGCCATAGTTTGAAGGATTAATCACATACAGACTTAACCTTCATTGACTAAAGGAGAGAAACTGTAAGGCTAAGAATTCCAAAGAATATATAATCTTTACATTTATATATATTTGATAATTTTATTAGTCCAAATTTCTCTATTTATTTTTTTAAATTATATTTTGCTTGGGATAATATTAAAAGTCAATATTCATTTCATAAGTTTATTTGTCTACCAAATGACATCACAGACACTAGAGAAAAAAGGCTAGCTAGAAATTATCTGCATAGTAGAAAGAGCCAATCTGGAATGAAAAATGTATTTAAGGATAATCTCAGAGTAATGTAGATTTGAACATAAATAAGCTATAATCATTTTCATGATATTCATTACAACATAAGAACCCTATTAACTATTATATGTTTTTTTCTCTTTTATTATATGTCTATCTTATTATACAATTTATTTGCTATAATTTCTCTATTACCTTTTTATTTCCACATTTTTATTTCCCTTTTATTAAATATAATTAGTTGATTAGTACCATTAAATTATGACTAATTAAAGATAAATCTTTGATCAATTCCACTAATTATGATTTATTTTGAATCTTAGGTCCATCTCTTTAGCCTTTACTAATCTATCATTCTCGCCACATATCTACCGTCCTTCTTTCCTCCCTCCCTCCCTTCTTCTCTCCCTACCTTCTTTTCATTTTTGAGACATTTAATCAACAGATGAACTATAAACATTCTTCTAAATGATGTCCACCTTGATGTAAAAGTTAAAAGATAGACTTTACACATACTTTGGTATCAATTTTCTGCATCATTATTCTGATTATGACATTAAAATGGTTTATCAGATATGAGAAGAAAGTATAGAACAAAGTAAGCAAGAATAGTTTTAAATGGCTTTTTGATGATTTTAATGTCTTTTTATTTTTTAGTGATATTTTTTCTTTTGAGTCTTCTCAAGAATGTGTGATAGTGGACTTGATAATATTTTCATTGAGGCCTCATTATTTTTTATTTTCTGATTATAGTGGGAAAATATCAGCAGACCAAAGTTATCAGAATACTGGATATACTGGATAATTTTTTGTTTATTAGGGCTCATTTAGAGCTCAGTGAGAAGAGTAGATTACTCAAATCAAAAAAGGCCCACAGATCATTTAAATGAAGGGAAACATTTAAAGCAACATTAACTTCAGTACTAAAACAGGACAGGGAGTACACTTGCTTAGGTATACACACACACACACACACACGTGCGCACACACTCGGAGACGTACACATACACACATACACATACACAAAGAGCAATATGAACTCAGTTATATATATGAGAGGATAATGGGTTAATTTATATCTTTATATAAGTAGAATAAGTTCACTTTTAATCTTAAATACTTTTTAAAAATCTAGAGTTCAACCAAAAAGACACTTTTAAAAATAAAACTATGAATTATTCATAACAGGTAAATATGAGCACTAACAAAATACTTTGGTTTTGGGAGACACTTTTATAGTGAAATCATAATTTGATAACTGTATGGGCTAGAATAATTCTAAAAGAAATACAACTCTACAGACGTAAGATTTGCTAAATATAAATCTGTAATTAAATTTATTACTATTAACTTTCTCATAATATTGAAAACCTATGGGATCAAAATTTTTAACCAAAAATGTTTTGGACTTCTTCTTAACAAAGAAGTGCAAATGGTGAACATATGTCATCAACTAGATATTCTTAACTTTACTTCTTTATATTAATTCTTTGAGTTTTTAGGTTTATCATTTAGGCAAATGATCAATGAGTGGAGATTAAGATAGACTTAGTGAACAAAATAGTTGTCCCATACTCTGTACAGTGAAATTTTATGGGCATTGCTTAGAATATTTTTATTTCAGGAGTAAGAAAATAACAGGTAAATTGATTAAACAGAGTGAAAAGAAGTGAGGGAAACAATACAGGTATAAATAGATTTCTGAAAGGAGCCTGCAGTTCCCAGAGTGATTACTTTTTGAGTTGATATGGATTTTTATAAATTGTTAAGAATAATTAGGATTTTTACATATGTAAATATGTAAAATTATATATTTGCATATGTAAATATGTAAAATATCTTAAAAGACACTTTTACCTTAGCACCTAGGGGTTGAGTTTTTAAGATTTAAGATGTCCTTAAGAGAAAAAAAAATATTCAGACATCTATACATTTTAAGCAAATGCTGTATAGGGCAGAAAATATTTTGTTTCTTTATCTAGGCAGGCACATCTGCAACAGGCTATATAAGTGCCTGTGACTCAAGGATTGTGGGCCTTCAGAAGTTAAAATCATAACTGGGAAACAATATCAGACAATATAGAAAGCAAAGTAAAGATGAAAGAGAAAAAGAAATAATAAGGTTTTTAATACAGAGAATGGAGAATGAGACTAGAAAGTGTGAGCTATGGGTAATCAGAGCATTTCAAGCACTTTTATTTCATCTATCTCTGTGTCTGTTATGTCTTTTCAAGGATATCACTTTTAACTTCTGCACTGGATTGTTGTAACTTTAAAAAACTCCACAGTGATTTAGGTGCCTTCGAAGTTCTTGGCCCTCTGGTTTTTGTTTGTGTTCGCTTTCATGGAATGTTCAAATCAAATCTATTCCACCACAGTGTATATTTCTTTGTACCAAATCACCATTGTAGCAATTAATAAATGGTGAAATGATGTTAGTAAAATTTCAGAAAACGTTTTGTTTTTTCCCCCACTATGTTGAGTTTTGAAGCAATCAGGTGAAAGTCTTGTCAACAAAGCTTACATGTGCTCACTTATATGTGGGAGCTAAATATCAAAATTTTAGAGACATATTTGTCAATACAAGGGCATTTAAGGGAAAGACTGAAAATGTACAGAAGGGCCTCCCTTTAGTGCTTGAAGTGGCTGTTTAGCACCTTCGAAATTGCTATGCTTTTTCATTGCACCAAGATGCCTGGCTAAGCTGTAAATACAAAAGATTCTGTTAAGATTTTCCCCCTTCATTAAAACAAAAGTTGAATGAAGAATCTGTTAATATATCAAATGATAATGTGCATGATTAAAAGTCAATTCCCTTCAGGAAGAAACACTAAATTCTGAGTATAAAACTGCAAAGAATTGACTCACTATAATGTTTGGGATAAATTCTGGAAAATATTATTTTTGCATTAAGTTGTGCTTGTACTTTTATAAAATTTTTTTGTGTGTGACACAGATTTCTTGAAGTTAGCCTACCTTCCATAGAATATAACAATTTACATTTTTTACAAAAACAACACAGTGCCAGGACTTCATGTAGACTGAGAATGAATCAAGACCACATTTAAGTCTGTTCTTAGCATCAATGAATTAAATTAATTAAAGAAACATTAAATACTACCTCCAAATTTGGAGATTAAAGCTGATTTACTGATTTGCTATTAATATAGTCTCAAATAGGGATGCTTAGAGACTCTACAATATATAAAGATTGATATCAGGGAATTTCTAGTCATCCTGAAATGAGGAGTTAACAGATAAAAAGTATATGTGCATATGTGTATTTTTCAAGGAAGGGGGTCTAGATTCTCAGAGGAAGTCCTTGACCAGAACAAACATTATTAAAGGTCAATAACCACTGATTTAGAGAAAACTTCAAGAAGAAAACCCGTTTTGGTTCACCTCCTGTGGCTGTAAATCTTCCTAAAATAAATTATTCCACCTTCTTGCCTCAACAAACACACTGAAGTGGGGATGATGGAACACTTCCTAATGTGATAGAGTGCTTCAGGGTCATCATTCTGAAAATGGATTCTCATGCCTGCCTGCTGATGAATAGGTGTGAGAGTTTGAGTCAAATATATACTTAATCCAGGGCATGCCTAAGAGATTTTTAAATCATTTAATTATGATTTTTTCCACTTTATTTCTGGTGATTTTCCTCTCTTAAGTGATCATTTCTATGACTTTTTGGTCAACTCTTATTCTGGTTAATTTTGTATCCAAGACCTCCAGCTTACTATGATCTATCCACATTTGATCCTCTGGCTACTGTTAAAAAGTACCAGAAACTGAGTGGCTTAAAACAACAGAAATTTGCTCTCTTATAGTTCTGGAGACTACATGTCTGAAACCAAAGTGTCTGTAGGGTCATGCTTCCTTTAAAGGTCCTATGGAATAAGCCTTCCTTGCCTCTTCCTAGCTTCTTGTGTCTCCAGGCAATCTGTCACATTCTATGGCTGTGAATCTCTGCTTCCATTTTCACTTGACTTCTCCTTTGTGTGTCTTTCGGTCTTTATGTGTCCTCTCCTTTTCTTATAAAGACACTAGTTACTGGATTTAAGACACACTCTAATCCAATATGACCTTGTTTTAACTTAATTACATGTGAAAATACCCCATTTCCAAATGAGTTTCCATTCTGAGGTTCCAGTGGACATGAATTTTGGAGTGATACTATTAACATTTAGACCACTCCACCATCAGTGGCAATTTATATTAAATATATTCCATGCAAACATCTTAGTCATTGTTGGTAAATAGGCAAGGAAGGAACATTAGTGTAAGTCTATCTAAGGAACTATTCTAATATTTGTTATTTAGATGCATATATATGATTTATTTATCCATATGCGCATTTCTAGAATAAACACATTACTTAATTTCCACTATTGTTCCAAAACTGTGCAAGATTCCATAAGGACATGAATATTATTAAATTTCAATGATCTAAAGCAATCGTTGACCGTGAAGAATGTAAAAAACAATATTTAATATTATATGATAGGTGACATACTTGTCATATAATATATGATGCAATAATATTATGAAAATTCAACAAAATATAATACAAAACAAATTGAAATAAGCCCTTTGCTATGAAATGTTGCAAGGGGAATGATGAGGACAATAACGTAGTCGGGTGTAGTGGTCACTGAAGG